CTTTTTGATAATAACCATTCTAATTGGTGTGAAGTGGTAACATATTCTTATAAAAATTCCAATTAGCCCTCAGTTAACCTTAGAATTAACTTCATCCAAATTGAAACAAAAACAGGATTTTAAAGGGAATTTAACAAAACAATTCATTTTATCTGTAAATAAACAAATGTGAGTGGACAGGCAAATTATGAAAAAGAAGAATAAATAGAGAGGCCTTATCCTCCAGATATTAAAACATATTATAAAGATACTGTAATTAAAACAGTTAGGGACATAAAAAGAAAAAAATAACAGATTAAAGGAACATAGAGAATGAAAAAGTAGATCCAAATATATGTGGATATTTAGCTCATGATAAAGGTGGCATTTAAAATCAGGAGCTAGAAAGGTATTATTTGATAACGGGTATCAGGAAAATTTGCTAACTATTTGGAAAATATTAATTCCATATGCTTAATAAAGCTGGAAAAAATATATTCATAATAACACTGAGATGTCATTTGCTTTTTTCACTGTGTTGACATTTATACAAATGGTGCAAAAGCAAGGGTGGATAAAATTTCTGGCTTACTGATAATAGAAGCAACGCAACAAAAAAAATTCTATATGGACCAAAATTTAAATATCAAAAAACACACATAAAATTAGAAAAACATACAGGCCATCCTAAGCAGGACACAAACCCCAAAAAATGTAAAGAAAGAATTGATACAGTTTGTATCATAAAGATTTTTAAAATTCTATATAGCCGAAGTCCAAAGAAAATTATAAACTGGGAAAATATTTATAATACTTATGACAATCTAAGAGCTCACTTCCTTAATTTACAGAAAGTTCTCATATATTAATAAGAAAAAGATGAAAAACCTAGTGGAAAAACTGGGAAAGGCAGTTCATAGAAACAGGAATACAAATGGTTAAACCTATGGGAAGATGCTTAATCTCACTTATAATTTAAAAAATCAAAAAATTTTGGTGCACAACATGGAAAATATATATCAAAATTTAAGAGGTGAGAATTGGCAGCATGGATAAAATATAAAATGAACTTCCACTTTGACCCAGTGATTTCACTTCTAGGAATTTATCCTAAGGAAATAATGCCACAATTGTCAAATATATATGTAAACAAAGGTCTCCACTGTAACATTTTGGTAATAGACAAAGTTTGGGAAGAGGATAAATATCAACCAGTAATATATTGGTTGAATTTTGATAACTCCACACTAGAGAATATTATTGTAGCTGATAAAATGATGTACATGTTATATTAGGTGAAAAAGTAGTTTGCAGAATAGTTTGCATAGTATGATTCCAAGTTATTTTTAAAAGATATGCATGTGCACACATTCACATATATCTACATAATTTTTTTGTTGATATATAGGAAACAACAAAAAAACCCTGAAAGAGTCAATTGAAAAGTTAGCAGCGGTTTTCACAGGATTTATCCTAGGATTGAGGTAGATGGTTCATCAAGGTGGAGAATTTGAGACATTTTTATTTTCTTCTTCTCTTCTCCTAGTTAGCACCTGCTTCCCTTAATCTCAGTTCAAAGTTTCACTCCTCTCCCCATCAAGGAAGCCTTCCCTGATCCCCAGACTCTGCCACTTCTTTTACTATATTAACAGTGTTCCTTTCCTTCAAAGTATTTTTCTCACTTTGTATGTATATGTGATTATTTCATTAAGGTCTTGCTTTCACTATGAGAGCAGAATTAGTGTCTGTTTTTGCTCATCAACATATTCACAATAAGCACAGCACTTGTGGCAATGCTCCCTCTTTCTCTCCCCCTCCCAATATTTTGATGTAGACAGTTACATTTTCTCAGTCTTACATAAAGGGTTATGAGAGTGCAGGTTTTAAACATCTCTCCCCATCACAAAAACACAGATGAAGAAAAGCACAGCAGAAACAAATAGCTAACATTACACTAAATGGTGAAATATTAGGGGCATTCTCATTTACTTCAAGAACAAGATAAGGAGGCTCTCAAATCACCATTATTATTCAACATAGTTCTGGAGGTTCCGGTTGATGTAGTACATCCAGAAAATGAAAGAATAAGAGATAATAATGATTGGAAAAGACAAAATTTTAAAAATCATCATTTTCAAATGATTATGTATGCATACCTAGAAAAACCAGTTATCAACTGAAAAACTACAGGCATACATCAGAGATATTGCGGGTTCAATTCCAGACTACCACAATAAAGCCAGTATCGCAATAAAGTGAGTCACACATTTTTTTGGCTTCCCAGTGCATATGAAAGTTTTGTTTACACTACACAGTGGTCTATTAAGTGTGCAAAACATTATGTCTTTAAAAATGTATATACGTTAATTTAAAAATATGTTACTGCTAAAAAATGCTAACCATCATTTGAGCCTTCAATGAGTTGTAATGTTTTTGCAATAGTAACATCAAAGATCACTGATCACAGATCAGTGTAACAGATATAATAATAATGAAAAGGTTTGAAATATTGCGAGAATTACCAAACTGTGACATAGAGACGTGAAGTGAGCACATGCTGTTGGAAAAATGGCACTGATAGACTTGCTTGACACAGGGTTGCCACAAACCTTCAATTAGTAAAAAAATCAATGTCTGTGAATCACAATAAAGCAAAGTGCAATAAAATTAGTTATGCCTCTATTAGAAATATTAAGAAAGGTCACTAAAAGTAAATATATCAGAATTATTTGCTTCGGCAATAACCTGGTAGAAAATATAATCATAAAAGGAATGTCATCCCCCAAAGCAACAAAACCATAAAACATCTAGGAATAAACTTAACAAATAATGAGTATGACCTATCTGAAGAAACATAAAATTTATTGAAGATCATAAAAGTTGACATGGATAGAAAGACACAATTTTTAAAGATACCAGTTCTCAAATTAAAGTGCAGATTCTTTGCACTTTATGTCACTCAGTGTGAGCCTTTTTGTTCTGTATATAGTTGTTCTGTATATTGTTGTTCAACACATATGCATACATAGACTCTGTATTTGCATGAAGAAAGGTGGAAATTGTTATCAGTGGTTGGTGGTGGAACAGGCATTGCAGGGAACTTTCACATTCTACTTTATACATTTCTGTGTTGTTTGCACATTTTTAAAAAAATAGTGTGTATAATGTGTGTGAGAGAGAGACAGAGATTGATTTCTACTAAGAGGATGTATCTTTTTTTTTCAAAGTGAGTTATTTTTAGTGTTTTTTTAAGTCTTAGTTGCCTGTGAGAATGTGATGAGAGCTATGACCCCTCTTCCCACTAAGATGGACATATGCGTGCACATGACTTTGATACAATTTTAGGTAGAACAAAGAGGTGGCCAGTTGAGAATTCCTACTCTAGGTTAATCAGTATGGTTAGTGGGGAGAGTCCTTCAGGCCCAGGCATACATTTGGCTGAGGGAGCACCAAGGTGGGTGTGGGCTGCGGGCAATGACCCTGCAGCAGGGCTGGGTTCTCCCTGGGTGCCCTGAGGTAAGGAGGCCAGGGGTGGGAGGCCAGCAGACTGCCCCTCTCAGGCCAGGTGGTAGCAGCACATGGCATCAGGAACAAGGTTAACTGAGCCACCATTAATCAGGGCAGAGCAGGACAGGCAGGCCTGGGTGCTTCCCCCAGCAATTGCTTTTCTAGGCTTCATGGAAACTTGCAGCTACAGGAGTAGGTGGGAACAGCAGTCTCTTCTCTGCATCCCTGAGTTACCTCTGTGGGAATATGAGGGAGGGAGGGAGGAAAGAAGTCAAAGGTGTTTACTCAGTTTTGTCACCTGAGTAAAGGTGGCATTTACCACTTTGGTCACCATGTATATTTTTAGAGTGTGCAAAAAGAGTCAGGTTCTATAACGCAGGGGATGAGAAGCTCTGGAATATAGGAGAGATGGGAGGGCATCACCTTCCACCCTTCCTTCTTGACAAGGCCGGGAAGATCGGATGATTTCTGCATCCCTCACACCCTCAGCTTCCTCAGCTTTAGTAGACTAAAAGCTAATCTGGAGCAGGTGTTCAGAACAGCCATCAAATCACAAGAGGTTCACACAGCAGTCAGCCAAGACTGCGACATTGAATGCATGTCTTTCTTTAATCAAACAATACAAGATTTTAATGTTTTTGTTTTATCAAATTGTAAGTTGATCCAAAATTAGAAAAAGTAATAGATCATTTATGTAAAATGGCAAAGATTAGACAACTAGTCATCTTTGTGGACTAATTCATAGACCATGTGAAAAATAACAGTTTTCCATTTTAAAACAGGTTACTACGTTTTGAAAGCTTCTTTTTGACTGTAACCAGTGGAAACATTTTCCTTGTGTTATAAATAAATATAGTAAAATTAGCGAGGCCTTTTGGGTTTTCCCCTCCGACTTAAATTCTTCTCCAATCAAACGAAGATAGCATCATTTTATTTTCTCAATATAAGAGTAATGCATTACTGATTTTTAAAAAATGAACAGAAAAGTTTAAGAAAGTAAGACATTCCCACTACCCATATCCTTTTCTGAGATCTTGAATCCCATTTCATATAGGGGTGCAGGGGAAACGCTGAGCATTGAGGCTGCGTTGTGGGGGGGGGCGTGAAGGGAGAGGTGGGTGGACAGGGAGTAGAGGAGAGAAAAATTATTCCTCAAAGAGGAAGAAAAGACCAATGGACATGGGAGCAGATGTAGTTTCTCTCTGCTAACCAAAGAAAGGCAAATGCCAACCACAAGATAAGCTACTTCTGGTTTCTGGGATTGGCAGAGGAAAATGAGTGGCAGGACCTGCTGTGAAGGGAAAGGAAACGGGTGGGCCGGCTCCTGCCGCACTGCTGGTGGGAGTGGTAATTGGGGTTCTGAGCTCACGAGTGACGTGGCTCTCACGTGAGCAGGAGCCGACGTGTGCAGACGTCCTTCTAATCCAGGTCTTTCGTTTGGTCCGGTTGCCATCTCCCTATTACCTCGAGGGCTGGCGGGCCTGTGGCCAGGAGAGGAGGAGGAGGAGGTAACTTCCTTGATCCCAGCCAGTCTATGTGTGGATGGGTGCTTGCCCGGGGGATTCCTGCGGTGCGGGTAGAGGAGGGTGGAGACTAAAGAAGGACGAGGCTCGCTTTCTCCACACCCTTGCACTATCCCCGGCCCTTTCAAGAACAAGAATGGTGGACCCTGGGGGCCAGATTACAGGGGATACCCCAGACCAGGAGGGGGGAAACCTGAAACCTTTGGCATCCAGGGCCTTGAATCGGGAAGGCCCGATGTTAAGGTTCTTGTCCTGTGTGCTGGTCCATCTAGCAAGCCAGTATCTTGGGGCTAGGCGTCTGTCTTGTCATTCCCCGTGTCTTTCAGTAGGGCGCTGTACCACTCGGAGCAAAAGAATAAAGAATCTGCCCCGAACCTCTGCAAGTCAGTGTAAAGGTGGGATTGCCCCGCGGTCCCCAGAAGGGCGGGGATGGCTGGGGTCCTCCTCCTAACTCGGGCGCATTACTGACTCCGCAGTCACCTCCCTGCTCTTTTATATAGGAAATAGGAGATGACAGCGTGTACAGGAAACATAGTTGTCGTTGGGGCTATGACTGCGTCGTGCAGGGGAATCAAAGAGATCTTTGGGTTTTCTTTTGCTCCTCCGGTTTTTCTCACTCCCTCGCCCCGCCTCCCCTCTTTCCAGTTGTTCGAAAGGGGTGTGGTTTTTCCTGGGAAAATGGCCGACCGCTGGGGCAGGGGCTGGGGCTGGGGCTGGGGCTGGGGCTGGGACTGGGGGCGGGGAGAGGGGGTGGATGGACGCCCTTGCTGGAAGAGGGCTGCTGTTAGCGGAGTCCTGAGAAGTGGGGATAGGGTGAGAGACCAAAAGGTGAAATCCGTTTGACAACCAGGACCTTGGATTCGGAAAGGCTGGTATTGGGACTGTCTGAAGTGCTGTTCTGTCTGCCTAGCAGTCTGTCTCTGCCCTGTCGCCTGTCTGTGTCTTTGGATCTTGCGGCTGAAGGCCAATCCAACTCTAGGAGCAGGAAGAAGAGGAAAATTGTCCAGAAACAAGTATGTCAGAGTGAGAGTGGTGGCACTATTTAGGGATCCCTGGGCTGGAGAATGGTGAAGACTGCAAACTCCAGTGGGCCTGTGGACCTCCCCCACATACCCCTCCTCCTCTCCTCTCTGGACCATTTCGGAGCTTGCAAAAGAAAGTGCTCTGCACGGAAAGAAGTGGCTGGGAGGACGAAGGTGTCACGAGAGTCCTGGGGTGGGGGTGGGGAGGACCTTTCTCCAAATTACTCTTTGGTACCAGAGTTGTCAGTCCTTAGGTTAGGTGGAGGCGGAAACCGAGATGAGGGAGGAAGGAAATTGCTCCCGAGCCGTGGATATAATGGGTGGGGGTAGGAGTATCCTGGTACCTCTGGGTTGGTGGGGGTGGCGGAGGCAAGGGCGGAGTTCGAGACTTCTGTGCATTTTACGCCTGTCTGGCTTCTAGACACTCTCCCTCCACCACCATCCATTTTGTTACAGGGAAGGAGTTGTGGCACTCACCTTCGAAGGCAGTGACTTTCGGGGCTGGGGGCTGGGTGGAGGATTGGAGGAGATCGAAGGAAGGGGGGGGCGGGGGCGGCTCATAATGAACTTCAAAGCCGCAGCTCAGTGAGGAGAGCGGGGGAACCGAACGTGGGAAATATTGGGCTCCACGGGACTAGGGCCAGTGATTCCGCAGAGGAACGTGTGTCCTGTCCCGGATGAGGTTCATCTGTCTGTCCCAGGAGCTCTCAGCACCACTCCCCCCACCGCTTTGTATGCAGGTTTGCAGGACTCAGTGTACTTCCAGGCAAGAAATAGAAGGAAGAAACTGCCTGGACCCCTGAGGGTGTATGTGGGGCTGCCACTGCCCCCAGGACATCTGGAGGGACAGGGGAGGTAGGGAACTGATTAGCTATCTTAAATTTAACATACTGGGGTGGGGTGGTTGAACATGAGGTTGGAGAATCTGGAGGTGGGGAAAATTTTCAAAATTACCTTCCTGATTTAAAAAAGGGATCAGTGATCTACCCTTGAGTCCCTGCCACATCCCCATTTGTTTTGTCTCTTTGTAGGTCTGTAGTTCAGTCTGTCTGCATGCAAAGGCACAGAAGGAGGAGACTGAAGCCTCAAATCTTTCTTTCATTCTTAGGTCCCCCAGTATCTGTAGCTGCAGCAGAGCCTGCTGGCTGTAGCTGAAGACTCCACAGCCCCCTCCCCCTGACCCCTGACTTGGGAGTACTCTTCTGGCCAGAGCAAACCCTCCAGACACTCGTGGCAGCATGGGCCGAACTCGGGAAGCTGGCTGCTTGGCCGCTGGTGTAGTGATCGGCGCTGGCGCCTGCTACTGCGTATACAGACTGACCTGGGGAAGAGATGAGAGCGAGAAAATCTGGGACGACCACGATGATGATGAGGAGGAGGAATCTAGCGATATTGCAGAGACTGGGAAAGGAGCTAAGGCTAATGCTGGGGCAGGGGCTGGAGCCAGACTTCAGGGTGACTCAAAGGCCAAGGCTGAGGTGTCCGTGGAACTCAGGAGTGGATCTAATGTAAAGGCAGAGGCCCACTTGAAGGCCCAGAGTGGAGGTGGCCTAGAGGCCAAGGCCAAGGCCCTTTTCAGCACCCTGAAGGAACAGGCAAGTGCAAAGGCGGGCAAAGGGGCCAGGTTGGGTACCATCTCCGGAACCAGGACGCTTACACCTGGTTTACCCTGCCCAGGAGTCAGGGGTGGAGGCTGCCACCCTGTGAGGAATGGAGCTAGAACTGGGGGCAGGACTAGTGGCAAGTCCAAGGGAAGGACCAGAGGTAAGAGCGCCAGGACTCCAGCTACATCATGGCCTGTTCGAAGGGGCAAGTTCAACTTTCCCTATAAAATTGATGATATTCTGGGTGCTACTGACCTTCAAAAGGTCCTTAACATCCTAGAAAGAACTAGTGATCCTTTTATTCAGGAAGTAGCCTTGGTCACTCTGGGTAACAATGCAGCATATTCATTTAACCAAAATGCCATTCGTGAATTGGGTGGTCTCCCAATTATTGCAAAACTGATAAAAACGAAAGATCCCATTATTAGGGAAAAGGCGTACAATGCCCTTAATAACTTGAGTGTGAACGCGGAAAATCAGGGCAAGATTAAGACATATATCAGTCAAGTGTGTGATGACACCATGATCTGTCGTTTGGACTCAGCTGTGCAGATGGCTGGTCTAAGGCTGTTAACCAACATGACTGTGACAAATCACTACCAACATTTGCTTTCCTATTCTTTTCCAGACTTTTTTGCTTTGTTATTCCTGGGAAATTACTTCACCAAGATTCAGATTATGAAACTAATCATAAACTTTACTGAAAATCCAGCCATGACAAGAGAGCTGGTCAGTTGTAAAGTACCATCAGAATTGATTTCCCTCTTTAATAAAGAATGGGACAGAGAGATTCTTCTTAATATCCTTACCCTATTTGAGAATATAAATGACAACATAAAAAATGAAGGGCTTGCCTCATCCAGGAAAGAATTCAGCAGAAGTTCACTTTTTTTCTTATTCAAAGAATCTGGAGTGTGTGTTAAGAAAATCAAAGCATTAGCAAATCACAGTGATCTGGTCGTGAAAGTAAAAGTCCTAAAAGTATTGACCAAACTTTAACTGGGGGTCTGTCCCAAACAATACTGAGGTAATTTTTTTAGTTTGCACTTGGGAACAATGCATTTTGTAAATTCTTTGCTTTTCACTGTGCTTATATGTCAAAGAGATCCTTTCAGCTGCTATTTTGGAATAATGAATATCACATATCAACAGTGATGCTGGTTGTGATGGTTGGTTTTAGGCTAGACCATTTTAAGGATGTCAGATGAATACTAGAGCTTGTACAAAGAAAGCATTTATTGATTCCATCTTGCTACCTAGATTGAGATATTTTTACTCTTTCCTCTACTTAAACTGACAGCGAACTAATCACGAATAAGCTATACTTTTGTATTGGTTTACATTTGTTAATCTTGTGTTTCATCAATAAAGTTGTGTGTTTTAACCAGCAAAAAAAAAATTATCATGTTCTTGAGTTTATGATATATTTGGAGAGGCAAGATGTATGGAAACAAAAAGATACTAACAAAACTGAGAACCTCTAATCATGGCCATCTGTTTCCTATTTCTGCAGGCAACAGTGCTCTCCTCCGGATACTTAAGTAGAACTGGGCATGAAGGATGGGATAAAAACAGGGCGGAAGGGCATTGGAGGAAGGAGGAGTGATGGGAAGAAAGGCATGGAGGTGGGAATTTTTCTCCACAGAAGAAGGAGGCTGTGCCTCCTCTGTGAAATAAAGTGTGGGGAGGGGAGTGATGGAAAATACAGTCTAGCAGTTGGATGAGTTCCATCCATGGAGGATCCCTGATTTCTAAACTGAGGTGTCTGTATATTATTCCACCAACCCCTGGGAGACACCAAACCCTTTTGTGACCAGAGGAGTGACAGGATGAAAGGAACGTTATGTGGCTGACTTGTGTGCAGAATGGGTCAGAGTTGGAGTGGGGACAGGAGTGGCCACTGGAGATTGGAACACCACTTAGGAAGTTACCACCATAGTTCAGGCATAGATGCTAAAGGCGTGAAATTTCACTGGTGGCAGTGGGAGTGGCAAGGGGAGGAAGGAAGTGAGAGTTGCTTTGAATGAAGAAGTGCTGGAACCTATCCTGGGGACATACAGAGAGGGACAATTTTATTGTAGGGTCCTGAGGGCATTTGATAGGAAAACATCCTCTTTCTTGTCCAACTCTGGTGTCTATGGGAGTGAATATGTTAGTGATTATTTTGAAATTATGAGAAAATATAAAAGAATAATTTTTAGTGCTTCTATCAGATTTCTTTTACAAGATTGGTTGGGGCAGGGTCTTTATGGAACCTCGAGAGGGCTGTTGGCATCCATACTGGAGAAGATCCACCTCTCTTCCAACCCAGAGTATGGTGAGGGTGTGGGTGGAGGGACACCTTCAAACTGTGCTGGTGGGAGCATACTTGGTACAAGATCCATTTGGATACATGTTTCAGAAGCTTTCAAGATGTGCATGTTCTTTGACCCAGTAATTCCACTTATACAAATTTGTCCTTAGGAGATATAATTGGTTTAGGAGAAATAACTGGCTTGTACAAGTTTGTGCATCTTTGCACTGTTTTGAAGAGTGGAAAACTGTGAATGACCCAAGTGTCTTGAAATAGGCACTTGGCTAAGAAATTAAGATATTGAAACATTATTCAGCTCTTGAAAATGTTGATGGGCAACTACACTTATTTACATGGAGAAAATTCAGTATATATATATATATATATATATATATATATATATATATATATTTATTTATTTATTTTTGTGGTACGCGGGCCTCTCACTGTTGTGGCCTCTCACGTTGCAGAGCACAGGCTCCGCACGCGCAGGCTCAGCGGCCATGGCTCACGGGCCCAGCTGCTCTGCGGCATGTGGGATCTTCCCGGACCGGGGCACGAACCCGTGTTCCCTGCATCGGCAGGCGGACTCTCAACCACTGCACCACCAGGGAAGCCCTCAGCATATATTTTAAGTGGAAAAGCCAGTTACATGACCATATACATAGTGTATTCCATTTTTGAGAAATATAAAATATTTACATGCATTAAAACTTCTATAAGGCTATATACCAAAATAAGAAAAATGGCTATGAGTAATAAGACAGTGCATGAATTTAATATTTGAATCTTTTCCCTCATCTGTATTTTCTTATCTGTAATGTATATTGATGTTTTGTGTAATTGTTGGAAAATAAAAATGTTGGATACAGGCTCGGTTGGAAGTGACGGAGATGATAGAATGGGAGAATGGGTGGGGTTTATATGGATATGTTTCCCACATATTGAGTGGGAAAATATTTAGACCAAAAAGGAGGATGTGTTGAAATGATAGATGAGCTGTCAAGATGTGGATGCTAAGAGTCCTTATATCATATGATTAAATGAGGTAATGTGGGTAAACTGCTAAAGTAGTGCTGGAACATAGGAGTTAATTGATAAAAGCGAACACCCTTAATTAGCTAAAAGACAGGGTGGATAATTTTTAATTTACCTTTTTTTCTAAGGTGTCCTTCTGCCATACGCTAGTGTTATTTTTCCCCAGCTTTATTGAGATATAATTGACATAACATTGTGTAAGTTTAAGGTGTATGACCTGTTGATTGATATATATATATATATATATATATATATATATATTGCAAAATGACTACCACCATAGCATTAGCTACCACCTCCATCCTGTCACATAATCACTATTTCTTTTTTGGGGTGAGAATATTTAAAATCTACTCTCTTAGCAACATTCAAATATATAATACAGTATTACTAGCTATAATCACCATGTTGTACATTAGATCCTCAGAACTTGTTAATCTTATAACTGGAAATTTGTACCATTTGACCAATATCCCCCCATTTCCTCCACCCCCAGTCCCCAGTAACTACCACTCTACTCTCTGAGTTCGTCTTTTTTAGATTCCACATATAAGTGATATCATACAGTATTTATCATTCTCTGTCTGACTTATTTCACTTAGCATAATTGCCTACAAGTTTTTCCAAAGTTATTGAAAACAGCAAGATTTCCTTCTTCTCATGGCTGTGGTACACATACTACATCTTCTTTAACCATTCATCTGTTGATAGACACTTAGATTGTTTCCATATCTTAGCCATTGTGAAGAATGATGCAATGCTTATGGATATGCAGATATCTTTTCCAGATTTTGTTTTTATTTCCTTTGGACATATATCCAGAAGTGGGATTGCTGGATCATATGATAGTTCTATTTTTCATTTTCTTTTAAGGAACCTCCATACTGTTTTCCATAGTGGCTGTACCAATTTGCATTTCCACCAACAGTGCACAAGGGCTCCCTTTCTCCATGCCCTCTCCAACACTTGTTATCTCTTGTCATTTTGATGATACCCATTATAACAGGTGTGAGGTGATATTTCATTGTGGTTTTGATTTCTATTTCCCTGATGATTAGTGGATGTTGAGCACCTTTTTGTGTACCTGTTGGCCCAGTGGATTTTAATAAATAAACTGATAAAATAATTCCTCTGAGGAATAGGGTCTTTGTTCCCTTCTAAGAACTGAATATGTTTCCTCAATTCCATCTCATCAATTTTTACAACATTCCTAATGCCTGGGTTTAGACATGAGACATGAAGCCTAAGTATTTTTCAAAGTAGGGTTGGTGGAATTCTGGGAGTACATGTACATGTTTCTGGGTTTAAGGCATTTCCTATACATGTTTTTTAAGTGTTCTGTTTTCATTAAAGAAATTCATTATAAGTATATTCTGTATTTTCAAGTGTCACCTGGTGACTTGGGAGCCAAATTTTGTGTTTATGTTAAATACTGTCATGGCACTAAGTGTGAGCACCACTGTATTCATTGATCATAAGATAGATGTTTCCCTGCCACCCCCTGCTCCCCAGTTTTAGTATTTCTGAAGTTATGATAGATCTTATAGTTGGTGGCACCTTAGCATTGTGTCATAGTTTAAATAGAAGTATATTTTTTTCATTCTTAGTGGTATATAAAATAATGATGTATCTAAAAATCAAAGGCATCTTAGATCAATGAAATTGTTTCTCATCAATGAGACTACGTAAAGACATAATACATAGAAGATGCATTTGCTCCATAGTAAGTTAAGTATCACTTTGTACTGATAGAGGTTTGGCAGTAGTTTGAGTTACAAAACTGGCAGAGGGTTGAGGGGGAGTCATCAGACTCACCCTACTGAAGGAATGTTTAAATCAAGAGAATCTGTGTTCTTGCCATTGGTATCATATTTACGTTGCAGACTGATTTAGAGCCACCAAAGCAACATTATCAATCTCATGGAATTAATGTTAATTTAAATTTGTTTAGTTATGTAGCTTGATGTATTTTTAATTTGTGAGTTTTTTGCTTTGTACTTTGTATGAGAGTGAAGAGTGGCAGAATATGCTACCCCAAAATATGCCACTTTGGCATAAGGATTATTTTGAGCTAAAAGCACTTGAAAAATAGCAGGTACAAGAAGTGCGCTCTGAACTTCCCTTTTCTTCCTGAAGACAAGAGATAAAAGTCCAATGTGAACGATGCCCTTCCTATACCAGGAAGAAAGACATATTATTGTCTCCAGAGATGGGGAGTTGAGGCTGAGAGAATTCTGTAAAACAGTTCTTGTCAAAATAACTTTTAACTTCCTTTAGTCTCCGCATATTTTAGTTTCTTTTGCACAATTGCTTTTCTTCCTTCAATCCAATATATAAGCATTTAGGTTTTGCCGCTTCTTTGGATCTCATTTCCTTATGAAGCCTCCCATATCATGCAAACCTTGTGTTAAATAAATGTGTATGCTTTTCTCTTGTTAATCTGTCTTTTGTCACAGAGTCCCAGCCCAGAACCCAAGATGGGTAGAGGAAAGATGTTTTTCTCTCCAAGAGCTATAAGTAAAGGCATTGATGCCTAATTTTAGGTTGTAAATAATTAAATAAGATAATAATAATAATAATTTCAGACAATATTAGAAGCCCTTGAGTTTTCTCCTTTTTAGAATAATATTACTCAAATTTGGTAAGCAAGATATGTATGTCAAAGACATGTATATTATAGAAGAAAAGAGGGGGGTGGTACCTAGCATTTGTCAAACATTGGCATTTTATATGTTTCCCTCCCACCCCCACCTTAGTCTCAATAATCATGTCAAGTAAATATTATTATATTTTTGCTGAAGAAGAAATGGGATTTGGATAAGTTGGATAAGATTCCCAAGATCACTCCATTAGTAAGAGGCAGAGCCAGTGGCCTTCCAAACCTGAGCAACTGGTTGCTTTAAAGTTGCCTAGTATGGAGCCAAACATCTGTATAATGCCTCCATAGATACCCAACACAAAACTCCCCTTGATGAAGACAGAGACGGAGATGAGATTCTGTATGTTGACTACGTAACTTTGTAGATACCCACACAGCAAGGTGTAGAAGAAAGAGTAAAGTCTTAGGG